GCTGGGCCTGGGGAGGGGAGGCCCCTGGGGTTCCCCAGAGGCCATGACCTGGCCCCAGTTTGGGGGGCGGTCGGTGGCTCCAGGCCAGGTCCTGAGACAGCGGAGGGAGCCCCTACCACCCCCACCGCCACCACCAAGGCCCTACCCCAGGGCCCTACTCCTGCCAGCCGGAGAAATCCACAATTGAGATGATGCCAGGCTGGGTGGGGAGCTCCCCAGGGTGTCCAAGATGGAGGGGGCCAGGCCCTCCACTGGGGGTCACAGCACTCTAGGGGGATGACCTGTCACATCTTGGCACAGGTGGCCACACGGCAACAAGCGTGTTCAGCCACTGGGCGCATGCTCCCTCCAAGGCTTGTGCTGCCCATGCACCGGGCGCGAGGCGGGCAGAGGCGCCCCTTCCCTGGCTCCCACCATCAGCTGCAGTGAGGCTCTAGGATGCCCAAGCCTGCCCCCCCAAAAAAAATCCCTGTGGGGCGCTGGCCGGCCAAAGCCCAGGGAACAGAGCTGCAGTGCGGGAAGGTGGGCGGCTTCGGGCGCAGGCAGGGTGGCGTGGTACAGCACCGCATGCTCAACACCCAGCGGCGTGCTCGCTGCGGTCGGTCACGCCACACATGTGTTACCACAGTTTAAAATGGAAAATAAGCCTTCCCTAGAAGATGCCCTAGAGTCGGGGTGGCTGGCTTGGGGGGGCACCAGAGGCAGGTGTCCTGGGGTCGCCCAGCCTCCCCTCTGACTTCGCTCCCCACTCCCCGCAGATAACTTCTACCTGCGCAACCTGCCCCCCCAGCCCGCGCTTTTGCCCGCCAACCCCAACTTCCCAAGCGTGGCCCGGGCCCCCTGCCCACCCCATCGGCCCCTCCAGCCGTGACCGGAGCGAGGCAAGCTCCCTTCAGAAGGCCCCCAAGGAATTCGACCGCTTCCTCATGGGCAAAGAGCTGGGCAGAGAGAAGGCTGGCAAGGCGGCGGAGGCCCGGGAGCGGCCCTCGGCAGAGGAGGACGGCAAGGAGCGGCATAAGCTGGTGCTGCCTATGCCGGCCGATGGGCCCTGCAAGGAGGGCACCCCCTTGCCCCGGGGAGCCTGCGAGGGCCGCCCCAAACACCTCACCTCCTGCCTGCTCAGTGCCAAGGTGCTTGGTGGTGAGCTGGGCAAGGCCTCGCTGGCCAGCTGTGCGGGGGGCCTGCTGGGGCGGCCCGGGGCGGGGGCAGGGGCGGCTTCTGGACGCTGCGCCAAGGAGGTAGCCAGCTCTGCGGAGCCAGGGCCGGCCTTCAGCGAGGGCGGCAGGTGCTGCACCATGCCGTGTCCGACACAGTGCCCTCTGGCCTTCCCGCCGGGCCGCCTCCACCCCTCAACACGGCCGCAGGCTCCTTCCCCTGCCTGCAGCTACATGCGGGCCCAGACGGACTCTGTCCGCTCCAGGACAAAGTCCCCAGGGACCTGAAGGCCAGCGGGCCCACCTTTGTGCCTTCTGCGGGACACCTGGCTGACAAGGGCCGCCCCTTCCAGGTGGCAGAGGCCTGTGCTGTGGTAGGCGAGGGCAAAGACCGGCTCCTGGAAGGGGTCGCCGCTCCTGACCACACTGGGCCCTATGGCGTCCCCTATGCACCCCCAAAGGCCGAGGGCAAGGGCGAGCGGCGGCCAGCAGGCTTCGAAGTGGCCCTCAATGCCCGGCTCAAGGGCCTGGAGTACCTTGGTAGTACAGGCCCCGAGGCCACCTTCCCCAGACTCCCCAAAGCTGGTCTGGACAGAAGCAGCTATTTTGAGTTGCCAGTCCCTTCACAGGACTGTGCCCGGCCGGGCCACCAGGAACCACTAGGCGGGAAGGCTGTCCAGGCCTGCTGCACTTTAGATAAGGCCGCCAGCAAGGAGGGCCCTACTGGCACCTCGGGGGTCCAGAAGGTGGCCCGGATCCGGCATCAGCAGCATCCCATGGCCCCCGAGGTGGAGCCAGGGGGCAGCGGGGCCGAAGCCAAGCGCAAGTCCCTGGAGTTGCCGTCTCTGGGCTATGGTGGGCCGCACCTGCCCCCATGGAGCGTGCAGGCAGGCCAGGGCACCGTGGTGACCGTCAGCGAGGAGCGCAAGGGCAGTGCCTACCTGGACCCCTTTGGCAGTGGCCTGCAGCAGGCAGCCCTGCTGCCCCAGGACCGGCCCGCCCCACCTGACGAGATCTCAGCCATGAAGAACCTGCTCAAGTACAGCAATCACGCCCTGGCCGTGGGCCAGAAGGCCGCCTTCGTGGGCCTGGGCAGCCTCAAGGCCAGCTGCATCCAGCAGGAAGCCAAGTTCCCAGCCACCAAGGGTCCCGGGCAGGGGGAGAGGCCTGACTGCGCCCGCAGCCGGGAGCACGAGGCCCCACACGGTGACACGGAGGTGCGCCAGCCGCCCGTGGGCATCGCAGTGGCGCTGGCCAGGCAGAAGGACACGGTGAGCCGGCCTGAGACGGCCTATGGCAGCAACACCGGGCGGCAGGGCCGGGCCGCCCCCACCTTCAAAGGTACAGCCTGCATGGGGAGGGAGCTGGCCGGGTGGTGGCTGGGTGTCCAGGCCCCCGCCCCGGGAGCCCACCAGGTCCCACTCACCTGCCCTTGCAGGTCTTCCAAGGCCCCTTCATGCACCAGCCCCTCGGGTCTAAATGGGTCACTTGCCTTCGCTGAGCCTGTCCTCTCTGCCATGTGCCTTATGTAGCTGGCGGCGGACCTCGCTTGGCGCACACGCTGGACCCGGAGGCCGAGGAGGAGCGGACGCGGCTGTGTGAAGAGCGCCTGGGGCTCGGCCGCGAGCTGCTGCCGCAGTAAGCCGGGTCGTGACCTGCGGCGCACACGGGGCCAGCCGGGGTGGC